CCTGCAAATTTATCGACGTTATCAAGGAGCAGCAATATGTCACTGTGTTGTTCTGCTTGCCTTAACTGTTGCATTAATTGAACCACTGGACTTGCTTTGAAGCTTATGATCGTTTGGTCTGGTGCTAAAGCGCTTAAAACACGAAAATGAACGTCTTCCATCTCTGTGATTTCTCTTAAATCAGCCTTGAATTTCCTCCATGGCCACTTTGAAAAAATTTCCTTTGCCAATGTCGTATTGCCTACTCCACTAATTCCACGCAAATTGACAACACGCGAACTTCCCGTTGTCAACATTGCCATAACTTTCTCCAGGTCACGTTCCCTGCCGGTCACACCTGATTCTCCCTTTCCAGAACTGACTTCTTGCCGGCGGTTTTCCTTTAATTGTTGAATTTTTTCCTGTAGCGACTCTTTCTTGGATGCTTTCGGGCATAGAAACCCCTCCAACAAAGTCAGATTGTCCTCCGATACAAGACCCTGCTTAACGAATAACTGGAGGCATGAGTACAAATCTTGTTCTCCTTGATCCTCAAACTTGCCCCTAAAATTAGTTTTTATGGACGATACGGCATGCCTTTGTTCTATGGGGCTGAGTTCATAGGACACTTCCCGAAGAAGCTTTTGGAGACGAGGAGAAATGTCTCCAGAAGCGGGGATTGTCTCGACGGACGCCATCTTCGTTAAGCGTCGGTTGAACCAACGTCACGTGACATGTAGTCGGCGTAATGTCCTCAAATTTATGCATGAGATTAATATATATATAAAATATATATATATATATATATATATATATATATAACTACAACTGCAGTTATATATATTAATATGCTCGCTTAAATTAATGTATTGAAATACTGCTGTTTGTTTTCGAAGTTTTTACCGTCTGTCTGTTTTGAAAGATCTTGACATTACTGACAGACGCTTGCAGAGTATGATAATGAACGGTAGTATGTTGAAGCGTTTTCGGTTTTTAGATGAATTTTCGTCTTTGACATTGGGATTTACTAAAACTTGCCTAAACTTGACCTTTCATCATTGTAAGATGATGCGCTCCGCAGTCAAACAAAACATCACGAGCGATGCGAAATGAAACTGTCTACATTCCGGTGCGTAAACACTGAAGCGGGCGCCGATTGCAATGAATAAAATAGAACGCCATTCTCATTCTTAAAAAGCATATTTTCCTTCTGATCCTCACTGAGGATGATCGAGGCAGGTTTGAAGTTTCGAAGAAGTCATCACCTGCGATGTAATTGTAAACACCACATTGTTTACATCCCGCGACGTAAACATTTTAGGGAGCGCTGATTGCAGTGAATCAATTGAGAAGCATATTAGTGAGTATTTGTTTCGTTACTCACTCAATGACACTCGTGTTTCGATGCCTTGAGTAAGTGACATTTTCCTTCCCAGCTGATTCATCAACAACTCAAATCAAGTAAATCTACTGCTACTGCTCGTTATTCAAAAAATTTTGCGAAGACTAACTTGCGTAAGTGTAACATGATTGCTTTTTTTGGTTATGTAAATTTTCCGTTGTCTACAATGAGGGAAACTTCTAGCACTGAATACTGAAACTGAATACTGAAACTCACAGCACTGAATAACAAAGGCACATGAATCGCGCATTTTTTTTCGACCGTGCGCGCAAAAATATCGTATGTACGCGTCTGACTACCCTGCGTCTGCGCGTATGAAATTTGTCTACGCAGTTTATTACGTCTACGCGAGCGGTACTGTAGCAAGTTACAAGTTTTGGCTCCTTGAAACTTTTGGAAGCTTGGAGCCTAACTTGCCTGGGATCGAGGCTAGAAAAAAAAAGGCTCTGAACGAAAGTGCTTGCCGAAGCAAATTAGATTTGACTGAGACTGGAATACCATTCTGTAGAAGATTTGCCAACTTCTGCTGAACTGACAACTGAACCACAGATCGAAGAAGGGCAACTAATCACAGTGATAAAGGGATGTGTTTGAGAGTCACATGTAAAGATAGATCAATCGGATGAGTTAGGAAATAATTGAGCAAGGAGTGCAGTCCTCCCAAACGATGTCGGATGTAACATGTTATCATCGGAACAGCTCAGGTCAGTACAAAATGCAGACTGCAGACGGAGAATTTAAACCTTTTTTTCGTCTGATATGCATCTTACACCTCAGCGACTGTCACGCAATCGCTTTCCGCCATTATATCTTTCACGATCATTTGCACTATTGTGGAATATTCCTTTTGTATTATTTTGAGATTTATTTTCGTGGCGAAATTGAAGTGAGATCCCGGCAGTATTAAAGAATAAATTCTTGCTGTTCCATAAGATACCGTTTTCGACTGTGGACTTGAAGGTCTCAAGCAAGACCTCGGAATCTTGAACGAACTATCCCACAACGTAATGTTATCAGTGACTTATGATTTAGAGAATTCTTGAAAGATTTTCAATAATGTTTACAAACATTATTTTTCGGGCCGTAAAAGAGAAGCTGCATCTCATATTTTCCTGAAGTATAGTAAGGGCCTCTTCATATGAGCCCGGTTGACCGGGCTAGCCCGGTTACCGAGATCTCGCCTCACTCCTATTTCCTTTGTAAAAATTTCGATGTGTTCATATGAGAAGGCGGGCCAGCCCGGTTACCGAGATCTCGGTTGTACAAACCGAGATCTCGGTAACCGGGATGAAATATTTTCCCATATGAACACTCCAGCCCGGTTACCGGGATGAAAATTTTTCAACTACGCATGCTCAAACTCGTTCCCAGGGCCTCAGTCCACGTTTCGCGCCCTTTTCGACTCTTTTTCATCCCGGTAACCGGGCTGAAATTTCCCATATGAACAGACGACAAAATTCGTGCCAGCCCGGTTACCGGGCTCATATGAAGAGGCCCTAAGAGTTTAAGGGTGCAGCGTAACTGTGCATGTAACTCACTCCACGTCAAATAAGTAGACTAAGTGCTTTTCTCACATGCTGATTGGCTAGTTTGCATGTGATTAAGATACTATTTACCACTGTGGCGAGAAGCAAAATAGCCTCCTATTTCTCTGTGATG